ACTCCAAAATCAACCAGAGAGGGATAATCAGGGGCCCATTGTCTTCCCTAATCAACGTCCCTTTCTCTGTTATCACCACCAAGTGCGCTTTGCACCATAACAGTAGTGTCGGGTAAACATTCCCACGGAAAAACCGTCCGCACAAGATGCGTAGCAGCTGTATCCACCAACGCCACTCTCCCTTCCTGCTGAAACAACCCAGAGCCACATAACATTCGAACACTGGGATCCCCGCTTGATGCTGACTGCGCTGACGACAGTTTCATAGATTTCAGCACCTCTAACGCTTCAGCAAGGACCTGATTGGGTGTTGATGGTGATGAGGGACTTGCAGAACCTTTCTCCAATCCCGCATTAGCCGTCTCATCTCCCCCTTCAGCCACCTCTGCCTTTTTGGCATTTCCCCATTTCGCACCTTTGCCGCCCTTTCCCCCTTTGGGAGAATTCCCTTTAGATCTATTCCTCTCAGGATTTGAGTCCACATTGGAACTTGCACCATCCTTATATGGACACTGCGGCTGTAGATGGCCAACGGCCCCACATTCAAAACATCTTCCACGTTCCAAGGAGTCTTTGTCATGGCGAAATTTGCAGCGTGATCCGAACTTGCAGCCTGCATCTGTCTTCCCATATATCCAACAGAATGGACGTTCACCATCACCGCTGTACCTTTTTCCTTTCCCTTTGCCTTTGTCACCCTCCTCCGTCTCGTCATCAGTTCCCTTTTGGGCCTTGTTTAACCTTGCCCTTTTCTTGGCGTCCGAGTCCTGCTTCACCTCTTGATCACCAGCACTATGCAATAGCAGTTCAAACTCTGCCTGTAACATTTCAGCTAGTTGTGTCGCAGTTTCAGAGGTCGGTGAGTAGTCCACCCCCAATTTCTCCCGAAAGGATGCTACTCTGAAATGAACCGTAGGGTGTTTTGCCAGCAACGCGGATGATAAACCATCCAATCCCTTGATAAGCAAGGTAGCGTCCGGCTCGGCCGCTCTCAACTCCCTTAATCGGGAACGCCATTGCGCCCATTGACGCACTCCCTTGATGGCCTCTGAGATCGAGGTTGCTGAAGATGGTTGCACCAAGAAGTTCAACATTGTGCTGCGCTCATTTGCTCCACCTGGTTGGTAGACCGTCAGCCATTTGTAAAATATCATCACTGACCCCAACATTCGAGTGGAAACGATCTCGGTCTTCAATCTCTCCGGAATCGCCTGCAGCAGTAAAGACACCGCTCTCTGCTCCAACAAAACATGCACAGTTCGAACCACTTTGAGCCCTTCCAGCTCAGCCTTGATGCCCAACCTTTCCAGCGGAGAAACACTCAACCATTTGGCATACGCCTGATACGCCTTTGAATAGACGCATTGCCACCACACTCTTCCTGTATCTGTCAGCGAAGACAACATTGGTTCGATCATTGCGATCCAATCACCTAGTGCCGTCGGATTGCTTGGTGTGTAGTCTGCCAAAGTAGGAAGGCTCATCACATGCTTCCCAAGAGCCTCCGGACGTTCCGTTCCAGAACTATCACCAATGATTGGCATACCACGTGGCACCACTGCTCCAGGAGGTAAGCTGACCCTACCACCAGGCCCTTGAGGCAGTCCATGTCCTATATCAGGCGTAACAGCTGTGAGCGGAACCTTTTCTAATTCCAACTTCCCAGCGACCATTTTCCACCGATACGGAACATCATCCACCATTGTATATCCACCCGATTCTGCTGAATTCTCTTGCGTCGCAGTTTCCCGAGCTGAAACAAAACCGGGCTGGTTCCCCATAGGTGCGGCAGAACCATCAGCACCTGACGGCAAGGAAGTAATCGGAACATGTGTCAAACCAGGTGGTCCACTTGCATATCCACCACTTGCAGGACCTCCCGTGGGGTAATTCAATGGAGGCAATCTGGAGGGTTTCTTCCCTTCAGCTACATGCATCATTGGCACTTCTTTTTCATCCTCCACTTGAGCATCCCCCTTCCTGGACCCAGGCAAGGATTGAAGATCACAACCCTTTGGCAGGTCGTAGCCCTCAATGGGCAGCCATGACCCATCAGGCAACACAGTCCAAAAACCACCCATACCATCAGTGTAAAAAACTTGTCCTGGCGGGTACTGTTTCTCTGGAGTCATTCCCAAAGGATATGCAGCATTTGCGTCCACCACTCCAGTGCTCCGTGCTCGCGAAGCTGACCCAGATGCAGCAGAGGTATAGCTTTTCTCCTCCACCCGATGCGACCTGTTCCCCAGCTCCTTTGTTTGCACAAGCAACTCCTTAAGCGCACGCTTTACCACTGCCATATCTTCACTTTGTTCTTCACCACTCACATCAGGAATAAGCTCTTCCTCTACTTGCGCTCCACCAATAGTACCTCGTTCCATCTGGCCCATCAAGCCTGACGATGGTCTCTCAACAGGTGCAGGTTCCTGACCCAAAAGATCTTGCAGCGACGGTGGCCTCCTCGTATTTTCACCACTTCTATCCCCTCCGCTCGCAGGAAGACTTGCCGGCCTTGATTGCCTCAGTCTCATTTCTTCTTGAGCCCGCTCGCTCCAGAAAGGATTTGCTGCTGGAACCGGAACCACTTCATTTTCCACCTGAGACGTTGGCTGTATCATTGCAACCTCCCTACCATCTGTCAGCGCTTGTACCACTTGTTGTCGTTCTTCACCCCCATCACCACGATTTCCCTCGGCTTCATTGGCCGTGGGCGACAGTCCAGGCTCAGAGCGACGCCGCATCATGTCCATGGCGTTAAACAAACGAAAAATCTTTACCTATACCGCAGGAAGCCTAATTTGGGCTCATAACCTACGGGGGCAACCGAAAGGGGAAGGGAATCAACCCTAACAGTCGCCAGAGGTTTCACCCTGAACCAACCAGCAAACACCAAGAACTCGAAACTTCTTTTTGCTACCAGGCGCATGGCCCAGTCTTGAGCCAAGATGATTCCGGGTTCATTGACCCTTTAACCTTAAACACCAACTCTTCTCCACAATACAAACTGCAGCTCCGCACCCTAAACCCTAAACCCTAAACCCCCCAGGGTGGGGTTTTGGGACTATTCGGGGTTTGGGGGGGGGACACGGGGGATGTTCGGTTTAGGACCCCCCCCGTAATGGAGTGACACTCCGTGTTGAGGAAGAGTCCCCACAAGAAAGGACCCCCAGTTTAGCACAACCGACCGCGCCGAAACTCCAAAGCCATGCTCAGGGCCTCCGTACCGGTTTAGGGGCTTAGGGTTTAGGGTTGGGTTTAGGGTTTAGGGTTTCGGGTTTAGGGTTTAGGGTTTAGGGTTTAGGGCTTAGGGGTTAGGGGTTAGGGTTTAGGGTTTAGGGTTTAGGGTTTAGGGTTTAGGGTTTAGGGCTTAGGGTTTAGGGTTTAGGGTTTAGGGCAAAGTTTAGGGTTTAGGGTTTAGGGTTTAGGGTTTAGGGTTTAGGGTTTAGGGTTTAGGGTTTGGGGTTTAGGGTTTAGGGTTCAGGGTTTAGGGTTTAGGGTTTAGGGTTTAGGGTTTAGGGTTTAGGGTTTAGGGTTTAGGAGGCCGGACGTGAGAGACAAAAGGTTTCGGAATGACTGCCTACAAGAGTGTTTGGCTAGTTGCTTCTCAGGGTTTTAGGGCCTGGCCTCTCGGCCAAACACTTCATGTGCTGTTTGGATTAGTGGGGTTTAGGGCTTCTGTGGTTGTAGATGATCAATTTTACCCGGTTAGGGTTTTAGGCCGAGGGTGTTTCCCGTCTGACTTCTGCAGAATCAGGGAGCGTCGCACAAAGCTTCAAGTTGCTATCCATGGTTTGGCCTACACCCTAAGCCCCGAAACCCCAAACCCCCGAAACCCCCAAAACCCTAAACCCCTCAACCCTAAACCCTAAACCCTAAACCCTAAACCCTAAACCCTAAACCCTAAACCCTAAACCCTAAACCCTAAACCCTAAACCCTAAACCCTAAACCAAGAAGCAACCCCCTCTCAGGCCGAGCCGCGCAGCTGCCCTTGGGCGCCTCTGGCGCCTGCTGCTGCAAGAGCTCGCAGCCGGCGCCCTTGGACCCCCATGCTTTGATGGTGCCTAGGGCTTTTGGTGGGGGGCTTGGGGGGGGGGGGGTTTTAGGGGGGGGCTTTGGGGATTTTAGGAGGGTGGGTGGGTTTTAGGGTTTTGGAGAGGGTTTTCGAGAGGGGTGCTTGGGCTTGACAGGTTTCAGGTTGTGAAAGGTCTGTCGGGATGCTGGAATCTTGCGGGCCTTGGCGTCTGAGGGTAGGGGTCTTGCACTCCGAAATCCTGGCGCCCCAGGCCGAACTCCCAACCCTGCCAAAAGGCATCCAGAAGCCCCCCCAAAAAAAGAACGCTAAAACATCGTCCGCGGCACCCAGTGCTTCGTATCCGCCCTGCGCCATGGCTCCGCTTCCTCCAAACAAAGAAGTCCCTGGAGCCGGCGCTGGCCATGGAACGCGGCGCGACTGCTGGCGACCCTAACAGAAGGGGTGGCCTGCTGAAAGAGGAGGATGGGTGAGTTGGGGTCACCTGGGCTCCCCGGACCTTCCACCCCTTAAAGAAGGATTATACCCTAGTGTTCTACTAAGGATCCTTATTCTGAATTAGGGTCTATTCCGCAATTCAGGGGTTTTTGGAAGATCTGGGTCCAAAAATCAAAGGGATGATAGGCCTGGCTCCTGCGCAAGCTCTACGCAACGGCCCCCCACGGGGGCGGCCCTTTTCGAACTTGATGACAGGTCTGGAGCTTTCTAAATCGAGTCTTGCCCTACGGTATTTCTACATCGAATTCTTGCCCTACGGTATAAAAAGCTCAGGAAAGGTGGAACATGGATGAAAGGATGATGAGAGCTCCGATTCCCTTCAGTATACCTTTTGGGGTATGGGGATAACGATGTTCCAACTTTATGGAGTTTACTGGTATTGCGCGGCCAGATCGCCCTTCGTGTAGCCGCGCGACCGAGACAGGCAGGCATTAACTGGAAAACATGTAGAGCCCGCGCCCTCGACCTCCGCTACTCCGCCACCTTGCACTCAAGCATCGGGCGGCCCACTGTGGTGTAGTCGCTGCGCGGGCCGGGATGAAGGGTCCCGTCCGACCGAAAAATCTGCATGGTCTTGCCACCCACGTGCGCGACGGAGAAGTGTTGACCGTCCACGTCTCCGACCCGGAAGTTTCCGATCTGCACGAAGCGATCCTGGGGAGGATTGCCAAAGGAATTTAAGAGCTCCATTTGGGATACCAAAGGGCTGATATAGGCTGTATAGGACATGAGAACGAGGTTGTCTAGATCTCCTATATCCTACGTGGCACATAGGGAATCGGGCCCCCCAAGAGAAGCTTCCAAAAAACCGAGGCAAGCCAAGAAGCCCCGAAGGTGATGCCCAAGGGCGCATCCAGAACGGGGCGGGAGCTGTGCCACAAGCCCCAGCTGCTCCGAGGCCCAGGATGCAAGGTCCCGTCGGAACGGAAGATCTGCACAGTCTGACCTTGGCTGTGAGGGCCGCAGAGGCCGGGCAACATGCGGGCTGTGCGGGCCCTGGGCCTACGGGCTCCAGGGTCTGTAGGGGGTGTCCAGGCCCTATAAGGGCTCCAAGGGCTCCAAGGGCTCCAAGGGCTCCAAGGGATTTTAATCGAAGGGCTCCAAGGGCTCTAAGCGCTCGAAGGGCTCTAAGGGCTTAATTAAGAGCTCTAAGGGCTCCAAGCGCCTTCAGGGCTTTGAGGGCTCTACGGGCGAACGAGTTGTATGGGAGTCAGGCTCTAAGGGCCTACGGCCCTTTTCGGCCTTACGGGCCTACGGGGCCTCCGGGCCCTGACCTCCCAAGAGACCAGGCGACCTGAGCTGTGGGAGATGGAGAAGTGGTTCGCATCCACTTCGCCCATCCGGAAGTGGCCGAACTGGATGAAGCGATCGCCAAAGTGCATCCCCGAGCTGGGTTGCCTGGGCTGCTGTCCAGCAACTTATGAATTTAAGCTCGGCTCCAAAAATAAGAGCAGATAGTGAAGAACAAGGCTTCCGCGCTATGATTGTCATGACATAACGATGCATATCTTTGCATACATGCATACATACATCCATACATCCATACATCCGTACATGCATACATGCATGCATGCATACATACGTGTATACATAGATATTCACTGTGTTCTGAATACATGCATGCATACTTACATACGTACAAACACGTGTGCGTGTTCATACATGTTGCAGAGTACCATGATTCTTTGTGCATGGCTGGAACGAGGTGCCCTGTTTAATCCCTCACAGGGGACAAAGCCCTAAACCCTAAAGTTCTTGCTGAGGGCTCGCTAACAACACCTGAGAGCCCGAAGCCGTCCGAGCTCGCGAGTGACCTGAAAGCGAGTGACCTGAAAGCATTGAACGTGCAGCTCAGGGAAAGCTGGGGCTGCTGGACGCTCCAAGGCAAGGTAAGCCCCACACTGGTCATCAATGCGGTGGCGCCTTTGTGCTGGCGCAAGCCCGGCCGCCCCAAGGACCGTTGCTGGTGCAACCCGGGCCCCCCCAACATGGCTGGCGCAACCCCGGAGGACCATTGCCGGGCTCAGACCACTTCTGAGCCTTGTTGGGCTTCTCCCAAACCATTTCTGAGTTTTTGACCATTTCTGAACTTATTTAGGCTCCATGTCTGAGCTTTTTTGGGTTTCTCCCAAACCATTTCTGGGCCGTTTCTGATCGACCATTTGTGAGCGGGCTTGTCCCAGACCATTTCTGAGCCTTTTTGGGTTTTTTCCAAGCATGTCTGAGCATTTCTGAGCTTTTTCGGGCTTCTCCCAAACCATTTGGCTTCTCCCCAAGCCATTTCTGAGCTCTCTTGGGCTTCTCCCACTTCTGAGCTTGTCTTCAAAATCCTTGTTTCATGAGGAGGCCCCTGTGAGAGGCACCCCCCAAGATTCGGTCAAAAGTGGTCCGATTCCAGTTGTAAGAAGGCAAGGAGTTCGATGGCAGAAATGGCCTCATGGTTTTTCTTTATTTGCGGCCACAAGGAAGCTTCTAAAAGCTCCCTGCAGAAGCCTTGAAACCTGCATGGGAGGCCCTGAAAGGCCACCCGTTTCACAGCCTAGTTTTGGTCAAGGGGGGCTCGTATTTTTCAATTTTCAAGGCAAACAAACCGTAACGGCAGACGAGGGATGCCAGCGTTTGCTAGAACTTAATCTCTTTGCAGCCCTGCCCCCACGAGGCTCGGATCGGGACGGTGCTGCAACAGCGTGTGCAGTGGCACAGCATGCCCCCGCTGGAACAAGCAAAACCAGACTCTAGGAACTAAACCCTAAAAATGAATATGCAGGGTGGCTTGGGGCGGGCTTACCGCCACGAGCGACCCGGGCAGAGGGGCCGGTTAGAAAAAATGAGGGAGCCCAGCGAGCAACCCACAACGTAACACGCCCCAAACCCTAAACCCTGAACGCTAAACCCTAAACCCTAAACCCTAAACCTTCGGTAGGCAAAAAAAGAGAGCGAGAGAGGGAGAGAGAGAGAGAAGAGAGAGAGAGAGAGAGAGAGAGAGAGAGAGAGAGAGAGAGAGAGAGAGAGAGAGAGAAAAAGAAAAAAGAAAGAGAGAGAGAGAGAGAGAGAGAGAGAGAGAAATTACACCAGCGAAGACCCCAAACAAAATGCATCGAATCATACCGGTTCAAGATGGAATGCGTTGGAACCCAATCTGGCTTCGCCAGCAGATGCTGCGAAAAAAGTTTAAGCATTCGGCAAACTTTTTTCTGCGAAAGAAGAATGGTAAAGAAGCAGGAAGGGATTTGTCGGCTTACAAAGCAAACAAAAAGCCCTCTTTACACGGAACCGTTGACGATTTTTTCGGCAGACCGAACGAAGGGCCTCCTGCACAGGATCTTGCTGCCGCACAAACCACGCACGGGAAAAACACATACTTTTCCCGCAAGTGTTACAACATTGCCGCATTGCAAGACAGGATTCCTGACCGTTGCTGCAGACGTTTGTGGAAAAAACACAAATCAGCTTCGTATTCGGCTCGGGAAAAAAGTGGGAACTCTGCCGCCAATATTTGGCAAAAAACAGCAGGAAGTGGCTTGTCGGCTTACAAAGCACACAAAAAAAGACCTCTTTCCACGGAACCGTTGACGACTGTTTCCGCAGACCGAACGGTGGGCCTACTGCACAGGATCTTGCTGCTGCGCAAACCACGCATGGAAAAAAAAACACACATGTTCCCGCATTGCGCGACAGGACACCTGGCCTTTGCTTCAGACCTTTGTGGTTTGTGGAAAAACCGCAAACGAGCTTGGTATTCGGCGGTTGGCTGTCAAAAAGTTGGAACTTTGCCGCGACTATTTGGCCAAAAAAAGCAGGAAGGGATTTGTCTGCTTACAAGGCAAAAAACAAGCTCTCTGTGTACATGGAACTGTTGACGATTTTTTTCGCAAACCGAACGAAGGGCCTCCTCCTGCACAGGATCTTGCTGCTGCACAAACCACGCACGGAAACAATGTACATTTTTCCCGCAACTGCTACAACATTGCCGCATTGCGAGACAGGATACCTGGCCTTTGCTTCAGACTCTTGTGGAAAAACGCAAATGAGCTTAGTATTCGGTTCGGCTGGCTGTCGCACGGGAAAAAGTGGGAACTTTGCCGCGAATATTTGGCAAAAGAAGCAGGAAGGGATTTGTCGGCTTATAAGGCAAACAACAAGCTCTCTGTACACGGAAGCATTGACGATTGTTCCGCAGACCGAGTGAAGAACCTCGTGCACAGGATCTTGTTGCAGCAGCAAGAATGCACGCAAAGAAGGCACATTTTTCCCGCAATTGCCGCATTAAGCGAGACAGGATACCTGGCTGGGTACGTTTGTGGAAAAACCACAAATGAGCTTCTACAAAGCAAACAAAAAGCCTCTGTTACACGGAAAAGTTGGCCTTTTTTCCCGCAAACGAAACGAAGGGCCTCCTGCAGAGGATCTTGCTGCCGCACACACGACGCGCGGAAAGAAAGCACGTTTCTCCCGCAACTGTTACAACATTGCCGTGTTGCGAGACGAGATACCTGGCTGCATACGTCTGTGGAAAAAGCACAAATGTGCTTTTACAAAGCAAACAAAAAGCCTTCTTTACACGGAACCCTTGGCGATTGTTCCCGCAGACGAAATGAAGGGCCTGCTGCACAGAATCTTGCTGCCCCAACGGAACTTTTGGCGATTTTATCCGCAGGCCTAGCGCAGGGCCTCCTGCACAGGACCTTGCTGCCGCACACACCACGCGCGGAAAAAATGCACATTTCTCCCGCAACTGTTACAACACTGCCGCATTGCGGGACAGGATATATACCTAGCTGCATACGTTTGTGGAAAAAGCGCAAATGAGCTTTTACAAAGGAAACAAAAAGCCTTCTTTACACGGAACCGTTGACGATGTTTTCCGCAGACCGAACGCAGGGCCTCTAGCACAGGATCCTGCTGCCGCACACACCACGCCCGGGAAAAATGCTCATTTCTCCCGCAACTGCTACAACACTGCCGCGTTGCGAGACAGGATACCTAGCTGCATACGTTTGTGGAAAAAGCACAAATGAGCGTTTACAAAGGAAACAAAAAGCCTTCTTTACACGGAACCGGTGACGACTTTTCCGCAGACCGAACGCAGGGCCTCTAGCACAGGATCTTGCTGCCGCACACACCACGCGCGGGAAAAATGCACATTTCTCCCGCAACTGTTACAACACTGCCGCATTGCGAGACAGGCTACCTAGCTGCATACGTTTGTGGAAAAAGCACGAATGAGCGTTTACAAAGCAAACAAAGGGCCTTCTTTACACGGAACCGTTGACGATTTTTTCCGCAGACCGAACGCAGGGCCTCTTGCACAGGATCTTGCTGCCGCAGACACGCGCGGGAAAAATGCACATTTCTCCCGCAACTGTTACAACACTGCCGCATTGCAAGACAGGATACCTAGCTGCATACGTTTGTGGAAAAAGCACAAATGAGCTCAAAGCAAACAAAAGGCCGTCTTTGCACGGAACCGTTGACGATGTTTTCCGCAGACTGAACGCAGGGCCTCTACCACAGGATCTTGCTGCCGCACACACCACGCGCGGGAAGAATGCACATTTCTCCCGCAACTGTTACAACACTGCCGCATTGCGAGAAAGGATACCTAGCTGCATACGTTTGTGGAAAAAGCACAAATGAGCTTTTACAAAGGAAAACAAAAAGCCTTCTTTACACACACATTTTTCCCGCAACTGTTACAACACCTGAAGCCTGATTGAAACTCTTTGCTTGGCCTGAAGCCTGAAGGCTGATTTTTTTTTATCTTCGCGCTTCGCTTAGAGCCTGAAGGGGTTAGTCCAGTTCTGCTGGCTTCTGGTGAGCGAACGCAAGCTGTGGGCCAACTCCACACGCGTCCTGAGGGGATTGCCTTACTGTAGACCTTGGCTTGAGCTCTGGGTAAACAATCCAGAATGGTTTGCAAGTATAACTTACACGACATACGAAGAGATGCTTCACATATACAGGCAAGGATCCTGCCAGCGCCGCAAGGTTCTCCTGTTGAAAAGGTGGGAAAGTTGCCCGATTTTTTGACTGCATTGACTTGCTTGCAGGAACCTCTGGACCCATCCGACTCAGGAGGCCAGAAAGGAAACACGAAGGGAGCCCAATGGGAGCCCAGCCCTGTTACCGCGGCCCACCCATCCGACCCAGGAGCCCAGAAAGGGGAAAAGAAACATGTAGATACAATCTACGGAGCCCCCCCCAAAGAGCCCAATGTGGCTTAATTAAGGAATATGCCTTAAATCATATTAAGGATCCCTTTTGACCAATATTGGGCTCTTTGGGCCAATAGGAGCCCAGCCCCGTTGGCGCGGCCCACCCATCCTACCGAGAATCCAGAAGCCCCGAAAGGAAACATGAAGGGAGCCCAATGGGAGCCCAGCCCCGTTGCCGCGGCCCACCCATCCGACCCCAGAAAGGGGAAAAGAAACAGGTAGGCACAATGTAGGGAGCCCCCCTCAAAAGCCCAATATGGCTTAATTAAGGAATATGCCTTAAATCATATTAAGGATCCCTTTTGGGCAATATTGGGCTCTTTGGGCCAATGGGAGCCCAGCCCCGTTCAACACGACCCTATTTCTAAGCACCAGCACGCACAGCTCCCTCTCTTTTTGACGAGTGGTGGCGGGCAGCATACATCCAGGTGCATATTGAAAGCGAAGACGACAAGCTAAGCATATGGTGTATCCAGCAACCCCCCCCCCCCGTCCCTGCAGGGCAAAAAGTAGGGGAGAAAAGCGGGGTTAACCAGGGCTCTAAACACAGCTAACCAGGGAGGGAGAGGTGGGTGCATCGAAGTTGGACACCAAGCGCATGACATGTTCGAGCAGCTGGCGCTCAGAAATAGGCAGCGCAATTCCACAAGGTGCATGAAAAAGGCGTCGTGTAAAACAGTAGTGAGTAAACACACAAACGGTTGCCGCGGCCCCCCCATCCGACCTGGAATCTAGAAGCCCAGAAAGGAAACATGAAGGGAGCCCAATGACAGCCCAGCCCCGTTGCCGCGGCCCACCCATCCGACCCAGGAGCCCACAAAGGGGAAAAGAAACATGTAGGTACAATGTAGGGAGGAATATGCCGTAAATCATATTCAGGATCCTTTTGGGCAATATTGGGCCAAAGACGGCCAATGGGAGCCCAGCCCCGTTGCCGCGGCCCACCCATCCGACCTATCCAGAAGCCCCGAAAGGAAACATGAAGGGAGCCCAATGGGAGCCCAGCCCCGTTGCCGCAGCCCACCCATCCGACCCAGGAGCCCAGAAAGGGGAAAAGAAACATGTAGGTACAATGTAGGGAGCCCCCGCAAAGAGCCCAAGATTGCTTAATGAAGGAATATGCCTTAAATCATATAAAAAACCCCTTTTGGGCAACAGTGGGCTCTTTCCAGCCCCGTTGCCGCGGCCCACCCATCCGACCTAGAATCTAGCCCAATGGGAGCCCAGCCCCGTTGCCGCGGCCCACCCATCCGACCCCAGAAAGGGGAAAAGAAACAAGTAGGCACAACGTAGCGAGCCCCCCTCAAGAGCCCAATATGGCTTAATTAAGGAATATGCCTTAAATCATATTAAGGATCCCTTTTGGGCAATATCGGGCTCTTTGGGCCAATGGGAGCCCAGCCCCGTTCAACACGACCCTATTTCTAAGCACCAGCACCCTGTACCTACGTTCACAAAGCTCACGCACAGCTCCCTCTCTTTTTGACGAGTGGTGGCGGGCCGCATACATCCAGAAAGGAAACATGAAGGGAGCCCAATGGGAGCCCAGCCCCGTTGCTGCGGCCCACCCATCCGACCCGGAGCCCAGAAAGGCATGAAGGGAGGCCAATGGGAGCCCAGCCCCGCCCGTTGCCGTGGCCCACCCATCTGAATCAGGAGCCCAGAAAGGAGCCCAATGAGCTCAGCCCACCCATCCGACCCAGCAGCTCAGAAAGGAAACATGAAGGGAGCCCAATGACAGCCCAGCCCCGTTGCCGCGGCCCACCCAGCCGACCCAGGAGCCCAGAAAGGAAACATGAATGAAGGGAGTTGAATGGGAGCCCAGCCCCGTTGCCGCGGCCCACCCAGCCGACCCAGGAGCCCAGAAAGGAAACATGAATGAAGGGAGTTGAATGGGAGCCCAGCCCCGTTGCCGCGGCCCACCCATCCGACCCAGAAGCCCAGAAAGGAAACATGAAGGGAGCCCAATGGAAGCCGAGCCCCGTCAGGAGCCCAGAAAGGAAACATGAAGGGAGCCCGATCGGAGCCCAGCCCGCCCACCCGTCCGACCCAGGAGCCCAGAAAGGAAACATCAATGCGCGGCCCACCCAAAAGTTCAGAAAGGAAACATGAAGGGAGCCAAATGGGAGCCCAGCCCCGTTGCCGTGGCCCACCCATCCGAGCCAAGAGCCCAGAAAGGAGACATGAAGGGAGCCCAATAAAACCCAGCCCCATTGCCGCGGCCCACCCATCCGACCCATAAGCCCATAAAGGAAACATGAAGGGAGCCCAATGACAGCCCAGCCCCGTTGCCGCCGCGGCCCACCCATCCGACCCAGGATCCCAGACAGGAAACATGAAGGGAGATTAATGGGAGCCCAGCCCCGTTGCCGCGCGACCCAGGAGCCCAGAAAGGAAACATGAAGGGAGCCCAATGGGAGCCCGGCCCCGTTGCCGCGGCCCACCCATCCAGCCACCGCGGCCCACCTTTTTTCTGAGGTGAGAACCCCAAACGATTCTGTTTGGGGAAAAAAAAAGAGTAAAAAAAAAGAGAGAGAGTAAGAACAAAAAAAACAAGAGAGAAAAAGAGAGAGAGAGAGAGAGAAAAAAAAAAAAGAGAGACAGAGAGAGCGACCCAAGCGGCTTGGGCTCTCGGCCCCAGCTGCCCCAGTCAGAGCGGGGCCCTGGATGCAGGGTCCCATCGCCACGGTAGATCTGGGCGGTCTTGCCTGTCTCAAGAAGGTTTAGGGTTAAGGTTTAGGGCTTAGGGTTTAAGGTTTAGGGTTTAGGGTTTAGGGTTTAGGGTTTAGGGTTTAGGGTTCAGGGTTTAGGGTTTAGGGTTTAGGGTTTAGGGTTTAGGGTTTAGGGTTTAGGGTTTAGGGTTTAGGGCTACCATATGAAGGCCTCCCTTGTGCGACACCGTGAAGTGCTGGGAATTGATTTCCGCGAGGCGCCAGTCCCCAATCTGCATGAAGTCCTCGCCCCGTGAAAGGTTTTGAAGGTTGAGGATTTAGGGTTGAGGGTTTAGGGTTTAGGGTTAGGGTTCAGGGTTCAGGGTTCAGGGTTCAGGGTTCAGGGTTCAGGGTTCAGGGTTCAGGGTTTAGGGTTTAGGGTTTAGGGTTCAGGGTTCAGGGTTCAGGGTTTGGGGAACCCATGAAGTCCTGGCCCGTGACGATTCCGGGGCAGGTGCCCAGGATCTCGTAGATGTTCCTCAGCGTGGAGGCATCTTTGGGGCCTCCCCTAGACATACACCGTTGACTAACCCTAAACCCTAAACCCTAAACCCTGAACCCTAAATTCTTTAAGGAGACTTTTTAGGGGCTAAGACGGGCTAAGGATGAAGGTCTCTCAAACAACTTTAGACACTCCGGGAAATGCATCATGGGTTTCTAACTAACCCTTAAAAATGGGGGGGGGGGGGGAACCTGGAGTAGTAGGGGAACACCCTAAACCCTAAATCCTAAATCCTAAATCCTAAACCCTACACCCTACACCCTAAACCCTACACCCTAAACCCCAAACCCTAAACCCATGAATTCAGGTTCCCGGCGTCCCACAATGCCACTGGGGATAGCGAGCATTGACCCAGCCGGCCCTGTAATTCTGGATCGGAACGAGTTGGCCGTCGGACCGAAAGATTTGGAGGGTCTTGCCATTCCTTTCTGTTAGTTTAGGGTTGAGGGTTTAGGGTTTAGGGCTTAGGGTTTAGGGTTTAGGGTTTAGGGCTTAGGGCTTAGGGCTTAGGGCTTAGGGCTTAGGGCTTAGGGCTTAAGATTGTAGGGTGTAGGGTGTAGGGTGTAGGGTGTAGGGTGTAGGGTTTAGGGCTCATGGAAGGAAGAGAGAGGAGCCATTGCAGCTTATGTAAATGATAAACCCCCTGAGAACTCAGCACAATAACCAACAAACCATAAACCCTAAACCCCAAACCCTTAACCCTAAACCCTGAACCCTTAAACCCTAAACCCCAACCCCTTAACCCTTAACCCTTAACCCTTAAACCCTAACCTGAATGCTCACCATAGATTCTCGTGGGTCAACATCAAGTGCCCTCCATCCGCATCCCCGAGTCGGAACTGCCCAATCTGCAGGAAGCGATCGCCGAAGCTGATACCAATCCTTTCAGACGCTCAGCAACCCCTAAACCATAAACCCTGAAGCCTAAACCCTTAAGCAAGTCAAAGCAAAAGTCGGTAGTTTAGGGTTTAGGGTTTAGGGTTTAGGGTTTAGGGTTTAGGGTTTAGGGTTTAGGGTTTAGGGTTTAGGGTTTAGGGTTTAGGGTTTAGGGTTTAGGGTTTAGGATTCGTTAAGCAGATCCAAGCATCGGAGGACCAGCGCTGAGGCCCCAGCCGTCCCAGTCGCTTCTCGGCCCCGGGTGCATTGTGGCATCACTCCTGCATTTCATGGGTTGGTCCTATATTCAGGGTCCACATTAGGGTTTAGGGTTTAGGGTTTAGGGTATCTAGGGGCTATATGAAGGTGTAAGAGTAGCAGATAAAGAGGCCGCCGGCCTTTATAACTCCTGTATATAGATCTGGCTCCCTGCCCCCTAGAAGGAGCATTGTAATCTTACACACAATGGCAGAGACGCAGCACACGAACACACACGGCCTTCTCCAAATCTCTGAAAACGGCACTCTGACTTGAAACTCTCCTGTAGATCTGGGCCGTCGTCCCATCGTTCTCGCGGTGGGAGATGGTGAAGTGGCTGTTGTCCATCGCTGCCAGGCGGAAGTTCCCGATCTGGACGAAGCCCGGCCCGAAGGTGATGCCGTAAGGGAAGCCGATCGGCCGGCTCCAGGACCCCCAGTCTGAGCGGGGCCCCGGGTGAAGGGTGCCGTCGCTGCGGTAGATCTGGGCCGTCTTCCCGGCCTTGTGCGAGATCGAGAAGTGGGTGGCGTCAATCGCCGCCAAGCGCCACTCCCCGAGCTGGATGAAGCGATCTCCCCACGACCCGAAGTCCGGATCGCAGACTCCATAGGCCATCTCCGCAATGTCCTTGCAGGTCCAAGGAGCGGGGCCCCGGCTCGTAATCCGACTGGTCCAGTCTGTGCGGGGCCCGGGGTGCAGGGTGCCATCACTACGGTAGATCTGCATGGTCTGCCCATTTATATGAGACACCAGGAAGTGGTTTCCGTCGGCATCCCCAAGACGGAACTTGCCCAGCTGAAGGAACCTAGCTATTCCAGGGTTTAGGGCTTTCGGGCTTTGGGTTTGGGTTTATGGGACGTCTAAGAAATCGCTTGAGCTATCTTCTGGCACTCCGCTTCATAATACTCCTACTGCTACTCCTATTGCTACTCCTACTGCTACTCCTACTGCTACTCCTGCTACTGCTACTGCTACTGCTACCACTACTGCGACTGCTACTGCTCCTACTGCGGCTGCAGCTACTGGTAGCACGCTACTCATACTCTTACAATTGAAGCCCTGGCGGTCCAGCCGAGCCTGTCACCGAAGCTGATGCCTGCAGGGTTCCCCTCGTGGCGGTCAAAGGTGCCCCAGTCCTTGCTTAGTTGTCCAGTAACCTGGGGGGAATTAGAGGTTAACCTTTGGGAGATCATATTACCCCGAAAAGGTTAGAGGTTACCTAATCTACTACTAGGCTTGTCTCTTTCTGCAAGTCTTTAGGCACTTCGGGGGGTCGGGTGGGAGGGGGAAGGGGGCCTCTCAACAGTACATGTCCATGGCTTTTTCGGGTTGTAAGTATAAAGGAAGTGGGGCCCATAGAGCTTCAAGTCATTGGGGGCTCCCCCCCCCCAATCAGGGAACCTTCACCGCAAATAATGGTGTCGTAAAGTCGAAGGATATAACATAGGAGTCTTAATCACGAAAAAGGACTTTGGGGGTTTTTGCAGCATAAGTATACAGGGACCATAAGGGGAAGATCATTCGTAACTATTCCGAACCCTTTATTAATCGGCATCCCTAACACACCGTTTGCTTTTCGCTGGGCGTCAGTGCGTGGTCCGGGGTGCAGCGTCCCATCGCTTCTGTAGATTTGAATGGTCTGTCCGTCTTTGTGTTTCAGGGATCGGAGTACAAGCACGATGCGTGGGATTCGTATTCTGAAACGCTCACTTTTCATGGGTCACTTTTCGCGGGTCTCTCTGTTGTCACATGTTCCTTATACTGTAGGGCCAGGGAAACAGAGAGAAGCCCCAAACTTTGCCCCGATCTTCCAAAACCCCTATACCCTAATTTATACTGAGGATCATGATTAATTAATTAGGGTATATTCCTTAACTAAGGATCAGTATTAGTCATTAGTTAGGGCATAAGGGGCTTTGGAAGATCTGGGTAGTTCGACCCCCCTAAACCCTAAGCCCTAAACCCTAAACCCTAAACCCTCAACCCCCGTGGGGAGTTCGAACACTGTGACACCCAACGTGCCGGGGCACGAAAGTGAGAAGTGAGCATCGTCCACCGCGCCAAGGCGGAAGTTGCCAATCCTCGGATGGCACCCCTTAAAAATCCTCTGAAAACATCGGGTTTAGGGTTTAGGGTTTAGGGCTTAGGGTTTAGGGTTCAGGGTCAGGGTTTAGGGTTGAGGGTTGAGGGTTTGGGGTTCAGGGTTTAGGGTTTCGGGTTGAGGGTTGAGGGTTGAGGGTTTAGGGTTTAGGTTTTAGGGGTTTAGGGGTTTAGGGGTTTAGGGGTTTAGGGGTTTAGGGGTTCAGGGGTTTAGGGGTTAGGGGTTAGGGGTTTAGGGGTTTAGGGGTTTAGGGGCTTAGGGGTTTAGGGGTTTCGGGGTTTAGGGGTTTAGCGGTTTAGGGGTTTAGAGTATTCTCAGAATATGGCCCTATGACACCCACTCGGTGAGAAAATAGAAAATCTCCCAAGGGCCTGCCCGGAATCTGGATGAACTGGAACCCGAACTTGATCCCCTTGGAGGCTCCGATGCTCCTGGGGCAAAAATCTTTGTTTTCAACACACCTCGGGTGACAATTCGACATCCGAGCATCGTAAAGAATAGGGTGTGCGGTGGTAGGATGCAGACCCTAAACCCGAAACCTGAAACCCTGAAGCCTGAACCCTAAACCATCAACCCCTAAACCCTAAACCCCTGAAGCCCCAAACCGCCCCACGCCGGCTCCTCCCCCATCCGCCATAGTCACTGCGGGGGCCAGGGTGGAGGGTGCCATCGCTCCGGAAGATCTGCGCCGTTCTGCCACCCTTGCGTGCACACAAAATGGAAATGAAGTACCCCTTGCCCTAAACCCTAAACCCTAAACCCTAAACCCCTTTAAGAGGGGTTTCGACCCTGGAGCCCAGATCCTGGTGCGAGATCGAGAAGTGACCGTCGTCAATGGCGGCCAGACGCCACTTCCCGATCTGAATGAAGCGATCCTAGGGTTTAGGGTTTAGGGTTTAGGGTTTAGGGTTTAGGGTTTAGGGTTTAGGGTTTAGGGTTTAGGGTTTAGGGTTTAGGGTTTAGGGTTTAGGGTTTAGAGCTCTTTAAGAATTATAATCCCCAAAAATTAAATAATGTTTTCAAGTGCCCCTAAGGATCCCCCATGGGAAAGTCGTGGCAGGTCGATGCGACGGAGGTGGGCGAAGCCTGGGTAGGGTTTGAGGGGGCCCGAATGAGGAATGATTCGAAAGTCCTATTGCTTTATAAGGCGCATGTAGGGATTAAGGGCAGTTTAAAAGTATAGCTAACAAGAATGAGGGACTAAGGGTATACGAACCAAGAAAAAAAATAGGTTCAAACCTCTCCGGGTCACGTGGTTCGTCACCTGCTCGGGCGGCGGCAGCTCGTTCCCCGGTTCCGGGGTGCGGCCCGCGGTCTTGCACCCCAACTCCGCCGCGCAGGGCGCCGTCGAGAACCCGGGTGTCGTGTAGACCTCCTTCCATGGGTCTAGGGGGGGGGCCGAGTTCAGGCACTAAGGGTATGTTAGGTGGGAACCTAGCGGGGAACCTAGGGGGGGGGGGGGGGGGGGGGGGGGGGGGGGAAGCTTAGGAGGGAGGGTTTGAGTAGGGAAAGCCCATGATCCTTGCAGAAGAACTTGATAGGGGCCATCAGCTGCAGGGAGGGCAGGTTCATGTCCAGGTTGATGGTGGGGATCAGCGACGAGAGCGCCTCTGAGGCCGCGTCGGCCGCCGAGGTGATGACGCTGGTCACCTTCGTTGCTGAGGTTCATGAGCCCCCCAAAAAAAGTGCACACTTTCAGTTCTACAGGGGATTATTTAGGGTTTAGGGTTTAGGGTTATACAAGGGTTTAGGGTTTAGGATTATAGTATCCTTGTCGTATCCCAAAAAGTGTAAAGGGTGCTCACTCAGCTACTAAGTCGCCGTGCTCATGCCCGGGATACACTCGGCCACGCCGGTCATCATGTTCAACAAGGCCTGGGCTCCAGCCAGCACAGCCTCCTTGATGGCGTCCTGGATCCCCTCTGTCGAGAACGAGGCCCGGAATGCGGGGGGCAGCGCGAAGGCTGTGATTTCGGTGTCGGCGTAGATGGACAGGGCCTGCAGGAGCTTGGGGGGGGGCCCCTCAAGCTATGCCCTGCCTGGCTACAGGGAGGCTTCTGTGCTTCAAAACCTATGTACATTTTGTATGTTCCATGTCATGTGCTTATGCTTTTTATGAACGTACAAACTCGTCTACTCATGTGCGTTCGAATATGTACATACTGTTTAGTCTCTCTATTTGCATATTTACACATACATACATACATACATACATACATACATACATACATAAATACATATGTATATACATATGTATATATATATACATATACATATACATATATGTATGGAGAGAGATAGATAGATAGACACATAGATAGGTAGATAAATAGACAGATAGATAGATAGATAGATAGATAAGTAGATAGATAGATGTGCATACACAAAAATTCATACACTTTTCAGCACATGCAGATTTGACTGTAGATACCCATATAGAAGCATCCCCCCAACGAGCCCCACGTTCGCATCAGGGTATCAAGTAGATAGTGCGGAGTTTCAAGAGTTTAGTTTCTTGGTTCAAAGTACGTGCATAGCACACATGAAACAAAAGGCACGGCTGCATAGCGAGGCTTCTGTACAAGCAAGCGCAACTATGCACGAAACATTGTAATCTATGCCTTTCCATTAACAAGCCTTGCTGTTCAAAACAGCACCAGTAGTGCCTCTAGTTCTCCTTCAAGAAAACATTAACTGTTCAATTTGACTCCCAATTGTAACAGCCTCCCCCCCCCCGGCCCACCCAATGTTGGTGTACCATTTACGCGTGGCGGCAAAGTTTTGTAAATCTAGCAACAAAGTTAACAATGGGGTGTGTGACGTGTGATACTGGCTGAGATAACACAGGCCCACGTCTTCCGCTTCAGGAAATTTCTGTATACATGTAGGAGTGCTGTGGTGGAGATACAGACGTGCTTCGCAAGGCCGCGAACAAACTACTGCTATCCGCTCCCAGAATTACGCGCAAGAGTACGCTATTCAGCAGTGAAGTTAACTCCGAATTAGGTCAACCCATATTTAGGTACTAACTTGCTTCCTCAACGACATTAGACCCTGCAGAAGAATAGAAATGTTGACTTCAGGCTACGTCCACAACGTTTGCCGCGCATTCTTGATGCGAGTGCTCAGACCTTTGACGCAATAGTACATCTTGGCCCAGCAGAAGATCTCAGATTCCATGACGACATGTCAAATTCACTGGCAGGCACAGAGGAGTCGGCACACCATGATATTGCAAAGCAGATTGCGAGTGTAGGCAGATATGGATACTTCCGGCAAACCTTGACTAGTTTGCACAGTCTTGCAAAACCAAGTTGCAAGACACAGATGTAAAACTGTCCACGAAGCTGCATTGGGCAAAACTTGTGTTTTCGAGCCGGTGGTAGTACATCTTGATTTTTCGGCTACTTGATTTGTGGCCGCGGCCTTCCATGTTGTAGTTGGGCATGTTCGCAAACGGCATGAACACTTGTGACAGTGCGTCTGGTTGCAGAAACACCCACTGTTTTTCATAAAAGGCAAAAAATGTGAAAATTTTCCAGTGCTGTGGGCATGTTCACAGAAGGCCTGTGACAGCGCGTCTTGGTCCAGAAATGCCAAACATCCTTTTGTATCAAATAAGCAGAAAACGAGGTAAACTGCTGTGTTTTGGGCGTGGTTGGCAAAACATGGTCGGAACCATCCCCCCACCCGCCCTACCCCCCCACCAGCCAACCCCCAGGCGACCCCCGTTTTGTGCGGCAAACGTGGGGGTCGTAGCCCGAATTCAACTAGTGGTATAGTAGGAGCAACCGCGTACTCTAATAGCATCAGGTACTAAGCATATTCAACTACTAATTTCGGGCGTGGGCCTTCAAAATTAAGAGACATTTCATGCAACTTGCCCTTAGATAGATTAGCCTTCCTCCTCATGAAAAAGTCTTAGCTTGCTTAAATTTGCCAAAATTGGCAAAACTCTCCCCTGAACCGCCAAACCCTAATCCCTAAACTGCAAACTGGGGAGGGTTACCCTAAACCCTAAACCCTAAACTCTAAGGTTTTCGGGGTTTAGGGTTTCAGGCTTCAGGGTTCTGAGCTGCTGGCCGCTGCACCGCACATGCTCAACACAGGTGAGGTGGCGTCCGAGGTCATGTTCCTGGTGAACAGTTTTAGGGTTTAGGGTTTAGGGTCTAGGGTCTATTGAGGGCCCTATCTAACCCCTGAACCCTGAAGCACGCCCAAAACCCAGAAAGCCTAAGCAGAAACCTGGGAGCCCTGAAACCCGAAAGCCCACACCCTGAAACCTTAAACCCAAATAAGCCCCTGAAACCCTAACCCTAAACCCTAAACCCTAAACCCTAAACTCTTCGGGTGGCTTCATGGTTCACGTGGGCCCTTAGTACGGCACCCTCACTCCCCCCTTGCAAACCACTTCGGAAAACTACCCAGAAAAAAACCCAAAAAAAAAAACCATGCAGCCCTAAATCCTAAACCCTAAACCCTAAACCCTAAACCCTAAACCCTAAACCCTAAACCCTAAACCCTAAACCCTAAACCCCCTCTCAATCTCCAAGGCTCGAAGTGAAGACCGAGGTCACATCGGAGTCCGTGGTCGCCTTGGCCTGCTGAGAGTCCTGGAACCCGGAACATGAAGGGTTTAGGGTTTAGGTTTAAGGTTTAAGGTTTAAGTGCGAGAAAGAGCGAGAAAGAGCGAGAGAGAGAGAGAGAGAGAGAGAGCGAGAGAGAGACAGAGAGAGAGGCAGAGAGCGCCAGAGAGCGGAGCGAGAGCGAGCGACGGCTAAAGCGCAAGAGTGAAGAGTGACGGAGGGTGTTTGTGTGTGCGTGTCCTGGAGAAGTAACATTCCCGACCTGAAAGTCAGTGTACCCTGGGCTTTGGCTTCCGCGTGGAACATGGGGTTGAAGGTCACGGGCACACCTCGGTACTTGTGGGGAGGGGGGGGGGTTCCCGACGAGGCTTCCTGCACTTCGGCGGGCTTAGGGTTTAGGGTTTAGGGTTTAGGGTTTAGGGTTTAGGGTTTAGGGTTTAGGGTTTAGGGTTTAGGGTTTAGGGTTTAGGGTTTCAGGGGGCGTTAGGGGGTCGAAACTGCAGCCAAGGCCACCCGGCATCGGCCAGACCTGGCTTAACCGGGGCGTTCCGAAGAAGACTATATCAAAGAAAGGGCTTGGGACCCTGAACTCCTAAACCCCAGACCCTGCGGCACAGAACCCTATGTCATCACAAAACCCCAAGCACCCAAATCCAATCTTGAAAAAAACTTCATGAAACATAGCAAATCCACCCCCCACATGGGGGGGGGGGGGTGGGGGGTTGGAAATTACGGGTCCCTTGTGTTCAGGTGCCTTTAAGCGGTGGACCCGCAGCTTCGAAAAAAAAAAACCACAGCATGGTGGAGCCTATGGCTTAGGGTTGAGGGCTTAGGGTTTAGGGTTGAGGGCTGAGGGTTTAGGGTTGAGGGTTTAGGGTTTAGATAGGGTGTAGGGTTTAAGGCTGCAGGCCCTGATATCCTGAGACCTTGAAACCCCCTAAGTCCCAAAACCCAACCTGCGGGCCCCCCGTCCCAAAGAGCCTCAAAATGCATGCTCCAGAGCTCACACCCTAAACCTTAAACCCTAAACCCTAAACCCTAAACCCTCAACCCTCAAGACCCTAAACCCTGTGGC